ATATAGAGCAACTCCCACATATATCGCGAGCCGTGCATGAGTTTAGTTTATATTTATGAGCATTATAGTACGGATATATCGACGCGCGAGTTACGAGCCGCGCAATTGCAGTGGGAATTCGACTTCGATTTCAGTTCTTGGCCGTGTTTCGGCGTACCGGCTTGTCGTTTCGTCACGCGCTGATAAGAAAATGTGAATGGCCATAAAAAGTGTTTGGACGCACCACAGTGCGAATACTTATGACAGATTGCTATATAGATTCAAGCCGCAAACTAAAAAATAATAATAATAATAATAATAATAATAATAGATACATAGTAAGTGAAGTATTTATGTTGTGTTGTCGCGTCACTGTCGTTGTCGCTGACTCAGCGATAAGCCATAAAACACATTAAACCTGCACCTGCGGGATTTCGAACTTAACCCAGCAGAAAGTGCATTTGGCTTGTGGCAAAAAAAAAAAAAAAATGATAAAGACTTGAGAAAATAAACAAATGACGAGCTAACGGTAGCGCAGAAACAGAGAGAGAGAGAGAGAAAGAGGAAGAGAGTGAGAGTGAGATAAAGTAAAGACTATATTGAGAGACCTATTTAGGCAAGCGGACAGAGCTAATATTTACACAAGATAGAGAGAGAGACAGTGAGTGACAGAGAAAGCGAGTGAAAGAGAGAGATAGATTAGAGCACGACGTGCTATCGTAGTTTACCTGCCTGGGCTGACAACAATCAGCGAACAATTACGCGATAAGCGCTCTTATCAGTTGCAGATAACACACACACACATACAGTGGAGCCTGTGTGAGTGTGTGAAAATAATTATGAAATCAAGGGGTACCTTGTAGTTGATTTTTGGGCGGCCTGCTAGTTGCCTTTCGCTGCTCGAACATACAACTCGCGAGTGCATTATCTAATCTCTGATGAGGTGCCCGTCTCTGAGTAACTGTATCGCTCTGTGTTCATAAAGTTTTCGTTTGTGCAGTTAGATATCGACGCGAAGCCAGTGCGTAGCATATGTTAACCGAAACTCAAAGTTCTTTTCAATAGTGCACCTTGAGAACGCATCCAAACTGTTTCAGATACATTTGTATCTATAAGATGCTTGCGTAAGCTACGGAAATCTATATATGTAAGTAGATTCGTAAAAGCTGAATAATTACTCGATACTGTTATACGACAGCTATACTTGTGTGCTACCAACTGTTATAAACACTGAAAAAGTTTCGATTGCCAATTAGTGCACTTTGTATTATACTCACATAATCTATTACACACAGAGTGATACACGCATTTAGACGTTGATGCTTTGCCGTTTTTCGAGGCAGCTGAAAGCTATGATAAAATGTTTTCAATGTTCTGAGATAACAGCTGATTAGCTAGCTAAACTTACTGTTGCAGGTAGATATTCTATTTGCTGTTGGATTTGGATCATATATAAATATATGTATAAACAGTGCGCTGTTACCCAAAAAAATAAAAATAAAACGAAATAAATTGAGCGAAAAGAACCTCAATAAAAACCCACTATACAAACACACAAACCAGACTAGATAAGATAAGAAAAACTCGCTCAACAAGTGAATGAAGCTGACACAAGCCAAAGGCACACAAACACATACACGCAAACATAAACGCCTGTATGTAGCGCAGTGTAGTTACGTGCAGTGCAGTGCCGTGCAGTTGTGCCCATACACCCCATGGATATTGCCTTGCTTCGCCTGCTGACATGTGATTCTTATATAGAGTGCAAGTTGTGAGATGTCAACGGCAGTGTCACTGTCACAAAACAGAGACCCAGAGTATGCCAGAGCGATAGCTAGAGATGGTGACAGAGTGTGTGTGTGTGTGCGTGTGTGTGAGAGGCAGCGACTGGAATTTGGGTCAGGCCTAAGAATCACTTGCCTACATTTGCATACTTTGGGCACACAGTTTGATTATCTCTGCTGCTGCTGTTGCTGTTGTTGTTGTTGTTGCTGCTGCTGCTGCTGCAGGGGCAGATTAGGCCAGGCATGGGAGGCTTACGAACTGTGCAAAATATTGTCACTAAAGTTAATTAAAAAACAGCCAGTGGCACCAAATATTTACAGACACATACACACAGAGACACACATGACAGCTATAGTAGAACATACCCAACCCCTAATAGCTTTAATAAAAATGCCAGTCGCAATATTTAGTACAAGTGAGGGGCAGCTGACTGCAAGGGGGTTGACTCTCTCTCTCTCTGTCTCTCATCGCCCCAGCCTGTCAGTACGCTGCGTGTGCAAACAAAGGCAAATAAATAGAAAAGAGATACTCAATAATCAATAGATAAATAAAATTACAAGGTGACAGCAACAGCAACAGCAGCAGCAGCAGCCACGAGGATGACACAGCTGCCACCGCTGGGCGTCTGCTTGTGGCCTGTTCAAGCTGCAGGAGCACCAACAGCAGCACGTTAACTGCTCATAATGCAGCAGCGCAAACAAATAACAAGTTTACGCATAACACGCCGAATAGCAAATGCTCTTGCTGCTCGACTTTGCTAAAAGAATGTTAGAAAAAGATAAATTCGAGTCAAAGAACGCAAAAAGTTTTATGACTTGACAATAAAATATGTATAAAAAAATATATATATATATATTTTTAAACACAAATACAAAATTATTATACTATATATATTAATTATTTTATTATTATTACATATTTAAATTATAAAATTAAAAATTTTTATTTTCTTTTATTTATAAAATAAATAAAAAATTATTATTTTAAAGTATTCTATTGTCAGGCTATAATCAGAACAGATATTATATATGTCCATGTGCACACAATTACACTGTTTCACGTTACCAAGTTCAGTTAATATTTATTAAATATTCTTACCTCTGCATAAAAGACAACTTTTAATTGATTTTTTTTAATAGTCACTGTTTAATTCTAAAAGTTGCAAGCTCTGTTAGAAAGTTACTTCATCTAATATGCTCTATTGAAAATAAATATACTATATACTTATATATATACACATACATATATAGATAAATATATGTATATATACAAAAGGCATTGGCGTCGCCGTTGTTGTCGACATCGTTTGATGACGCTGGATAAGCGTGTGGCAACGTGGCAGCCCCAATGCCGCTGGCAAACCGAAGCTGCCAGCCCAACAACAACAACAACAACAACAACAGCATCGACATCGACGTCGAAATCGAGAATCTTTTGTTGGTGGGGTGCAACAAGCGTTTCACGACACGTCGCCAGTTGCCAGCGTCTGGCCAAGTGAAGCGGACGCCAAAAAAAAAGCAATAAAAAAGAGACGAAAATAGAAAAGCGCGAAAATATGCGAGCGTTGCAATTTATTAAAAAATAATAGAAAAATTCAAGACGGAAATTTCGCTAGCTTAAAGGTCCCAAAAAATTTAAGCTCCAGATTTGGGCAGAGTGCGGCGTTGCGCATACGCCATGTGAAAGGCTCTGGAATTTTCAAGGGGCACACAAGCAGAGCATAATAAGGGTAATCTTCAAAAGCCAGAACCGAGCATGTCAGTGTGTGTGCATATGCGTGTGTGTGTGTGTGTGTGTGTGTGTGTGTGTGTGTGTGTGAATGTGTGCATGTGAAGCGCGTTAATTAAGGCGCCCATGCCTGTGGTCAGTCAAGTGCGACAACAAATAATTTGATTTCAATTTAACTAATTAGCTGGGGCCTTCAACATAATGCGAATGGCTGAGCGCATGGTCTGAACGCCAGCGGTAAAATATATATATAAATATATATATGTATATAGTTGTGAGTGTGTGTGTGTTTGTGTTTTGAAGCACTCAAATGCTTATCTGTTTAGCGGCAGCTACAAACATGTTCAGTTTACATGCCACTCCACAACGGACATGTGTGTGTGTGTGTGCTGGCGCTTTATCAAAGCCAAGCACTTCAATGCAGACAGTCAAGTGGCCAGCCACTGCGGTCAGTCTGTCAATATGCGTCCATTGAAATGCGCTTAGCTATGCAGCTGCTGCTCCAGCTGCAAAAGGACGACTCAATCTGGCTGCCATTTCACTAATAAAAATCAAATTATAAAAAACACATTAGTTTTGTTGAACTATGTGGTTGCTCTTCTCGTTTTTTTGCATCAAGTACTTAGCTCAAATTTTAATTAAATTATCTATGACACGCACTTAATGCAAGCATTTTAATATTGCTTTGTAATATGTCAATAAATGGCATTCTTTTTTTGTTTAAGTAAAGGCAATTTATTTCAATTAATTTGCAGTGAAAACATTAAATAAATATACGAAACTTTAAAATAATTTAAAGCAATTGTTATATGAATTTAATTTAATTTTATGGGTCTGAAATACATACAAAAGTATGAAAAATAATATAAATTATAAGGATTATTATTATCATAAATATTATATGATCTTATTTTGAAATAATTTCGTCAATAACTCATTAAATTTGTATATTGAGAAGTTGCTATAGGTCTTTAATCTCAAGTAGATATTCTCATTTCTTATATCATAAATAAAAAGTACATCATATTTTATAGTTTTTCAAATATTTGTTTTATTTAATCCAGGGAATATCATCAGGGTCTATATTAACTGTATGCAATGTGGATTAACAAATAATTAACAAATATTTTTTTCCCCTCTTATGATTTAATTACAGTTGCCGCTAAGCCTTGACCAGAGTCCACGATAGTTGCTAGTGCAAAGTGTTGCTCAAATGAGAACATAAACAAATCAAAATAAACAAATAAAGAGTGTATAAAAAAATTGAGAGAAAGAGAGTGGGAGAGAAGTGAATAAGTTTTTAGTGAGGGATAAAACTGTGATAAACGAAACGCGCAGCGGAGCAATTAAATGCGAGATAATATACAATTTTAATAAAAGTAAAAGCCGCAGCAAATTAAAAGGGGAGCATCGCTAAATAGCAGCAGCAACTGTTGCAGCAGCACTAAAAGTAATTAGCGACAGCAGCAGCAGCAGAGGGAGACCGAACTACAAAGTGTGCGAGAGTGAGAGAGAGAGAGAGAGAATCGGAGAGAGGGAGAGAGCAGTAATAATAAAAAGGTGAAATAAAACAAATGATGTTGCAATCTTTGAAACAACGCACGGACAAACTAAGCGGCATTCCAACAACAACAGCAACAAGCGGCACAGTGGCAACTGCTGCGCTAGCAACAGACACAACTACAGCAGCAACAACAACAACAACATCGACAGAAGCAGCAACAACAACAGCAACAACAATGCTAACAACAGCACCTGTTGCACTTGTCGCTAATGGTATGGCCAATGGCAGCAGTCTCTATAACGGCAGCAACAACATTAACAATTTAAATAGCAATAACAATAACAACTTGCAACAGCAACAACACCAGCAACAGCAGCAGCAACCAGTAAAGTATTTAGAAAATCTAACGCCTGCCACGGGCGCCATTGCGACGGCAACAACTTTTACAGGTGCTGCGAAAAGTTTCCATCCATATTTGCGGCCCAGCAGCAGCATACCAACAGCAACAGCAGCAGCAGCAACAGCAACGACAATGACCAAAACTGCTGGCGGCGTTGGCGTCGGCATGTCGACAACATTGTTCGAAACACTTTTGCAAAACCAAATAAATTCCAATGCAAATGCAGCCGCTGCCGTCCTACCAGCCGCAGCAGCAGCAACACCAACTGCAACAGCAGCAGCAGCAGCAGAGCCAACGCAAGCAGCAGCAGCTGCAACCGCAGCAGCACCAACAGCAACAGCAGCATCAGCGACTGCAACATCGACGCTGCTAAATTCCAGCATTAATTCCAGAACTTCATTAGCCGACCAGAGCGCCAGCGGCACCACAAATTGGTGAGTCACGCCTACCCTGCACCGCCTCCATTCGGTTGCGTTACTTTACTTTTTTTCGCCTAATGACTGCAAATTGCATTCGAATGATTTGTTTGTTTTGGTCTCCTCGCCTGGCTTAACGCGAGCTTTATCTATTTAGTCGGCGAGCTCTTTAAAGTAGGCTATAGGAATTCATATTTAGCGAGCAGTACGAAAGTGCATTAGAGTTTCGTAATGTGCAGCTAAAGTAGGAAATGGCAGAGTTGGACTGTCGGAAGTTAATACAAAAGTATTAGACTTGTACCACATTTAGTAAAGGGTTTGCAATCCCTGATAGATGAGAGATCTAACTTGTTCATTCAACATTGGTATTTCCATTGCATATACAGAAGTTTGGGGTCTCTCGATTGTAGGATCAAGCTGTTAAAAAGTAATTGGTGCATAAACAATAAAATAAAAATAAAAATAAAAAATATCTTCAAAAGACTAGCTTTGTAGGGATTTGCTAGCCCCCGCTCTAGACCTAGTAGATGTCTTAGACGCCACCACCTTCAAGAGCTACTATAGCGGAACCTGCTTTGCAAGCTATAAAATATCTCCTTTAAATATATCCATGATTGTTGAGCCCCATTTTATTAATATCATTCAAAATATATATTTACGAAATAAAATCTGCCATTACAATTAAATACATCAATATTTTAAAGAGCTAGCTTATGTTGTTTGCAAGCTGACAGGATACTTATCTGATCTTATCTCATAACTTGTAAATTTCTACTATTCGTATTTATGAAGTAAACTCTTTAGATGTTTGATTGATTTGATAAGGCTATTTTAATTGTTATAAATCAAGCCATTATCTCTAAAGTGTTGACTCGGCTGCATTCGGTTTGTAAACACTCGGCTTATACACAACTTTTCGAGTGGTTGCCATTAGCACTCATCAAATATTAAGAGCTCTTCTCTTACCCAATTATGCTACGAGCTGAAAATGGTTGCATCTCCGCTCACTCCAGCTCTGGTCCATTTCGTAAAAGGAAACATCAGCGCTTCGCGCGCTGCATTCCGAAACTTCAATAATTTAGCTAATTTCTTATCAATTTGCATATTAGCTAGATAGATATAAATTTCAATTTCCTTTCTGCAAAATATCCAAAACCGTCGACGCTATCGAATTTCAAATTGTTATGCCATGGCCCGCTGCATCATTTCCCATTACGACAAGTTCCTTTGCCCGGAAATTATAAGTAGAAGAAAGAAATAGAGGAAACCAGAGGCAGGAGGCAGCCGGGGCAGCAGCTGAAGTCAGCTGTCCATTTGGTTGGCAGGCATTTTTGAGCGGGTGGCCCACAGAGCGCAGCGAATCGAATCGACTCGATTCAATTAAAATAAGTGACAACGTGCCGAGTGAAGAGTCTTTGGTCGCTGCTGACTAACGATAATTGGCATTGCATTAAGTTTATTAATTGGCAAATGGGGGCAGGTCGCAGCGTCATCCCGGCTAATGATCATTGACAGCCGCTGCTAATTAAAACATTACATTATCTGCACCGCCGCCGATGATGATGATGATGATGATGATGCTGATTACGACAATGATGATGTGGTGGTTGATAAGACAACGTGACAAGCTGTAATGCAGATAGAGCATAGCTGCAGCCCCCAGTGGGAAACTGCTATTCCCTATCACTCACTCTCTCTCTCACTCACTCTCATTTCCCTCTCTCTCTCTCTCTCTGTTGGCATTTTACTACAGCGTGTTGCGCTGCCATTAAATAATAAAGCAAGAATATTAAATTTATGTTGGGTCATTTTTATGCGCCTTGCTGCAATCGCCCACTCCTGCCACTTGACTGTTATCCTGCCGCCTCGGCGAGTCTCTCTGTGTCACTAGCGTCCTCTATCTTGCGCCGTGAACTGTTTGTTTTTGTTGTGACAGGCGCGACATAACAAACTGCCATCATAAATTAAGTGCCGCGTCACGGCTTTGTCGGCGCCAGCATTGACGTGGCGTGGGCGTGGCAAAAAGGGCGCTGCATAGATAGGAAAAGCAGCAGGAGCAGCAGCAGCACCAGCCGCCGTCGCATTCACTTGAATGGCAACGCATGTGGCAGCAGCCTGCAGCAGAAAACATTTCACTCAAATCGAGCCACAGCAATCCAACACCTGCCCGGCCTAAGCTCAAGCAAATCCCAGTGCGCGCCCACCGCAGGCAATTTTCTCATTAAGCTGCGGCGCATTTAAATGAAACTGAATTAGTAATGCGAAGAAAACCAGCGAGCCGAAGACGCAAGTCGCTGCCAGCAACTACTCAAGCCGGCAACAGTTGCTGCCGTTGCTGGCTGCCCTCGTCGCATCGCAGCTCCCACGAGAGCAGCCATTGCGCGCCGCTGACTCTCTGATGGATTCCCCAGGCGGCAGTGCGACTTTGAAAGCGAAATAATTGCCTGCGGGGCAACAGCGACACCTGTCGCGCACCTGTAGGCCCCCTCCTGCCCCAGCTGCCACCCCTGTTCGCTGAGCGTTCTTATTTAAAGCGCGCGCCCCGAAAAGTAGGCAACAGAAAATTGCGTGCTGGGCGCAGATTTTAATTTATGCCTGCCAGGCCGGGCCAGCTTTGATACCCAGTTGGCTGCGCTGCCGCTGCTGCTTGGCCCGCCCATTGGCCTACTTTGCATTTGACTTGTGGGCAATATTTATCACCTTGACACTAGCCTATTTGGCAGCGACACGCTCCGCCTCTAATAGATTAAGTTCGTTTTGTCATTTGCCGCCCTCGGGCATTGTCGCGCTCAATAAATATAAGAAAGTAGGCGTGCCTGCTGACATCCTTGGAGAGCTTCATTCAGCTCGTAAATTCCGCTGGCAGCAGGTTCATAAATGCTGCGCGCCTGAAAGCAAAATTAAGCTAGATAGCATCTGAATTGGATAATATCCGGAATGGCGAATAGCTTAATTCATTTAGCAGCTGCGGAGGGTTGCCGGAGAGATAGAGAGAGGTTAGGCCCAAGACTTTTAGATTTCCTAAATACACAAAATATCAGAATAACGAATGTTGACCCAAAATATCATTGAGAGCTTTATTAAGCTTAGTTGAGATTGATATAATAAAAGAGAAGCCAATGAAAGCAAAAAAATATAAAATTTAAAAAATAAATAAACTTTATTTAATTCATTTTTAATATAAATAAGTTTTTAATATGATGGATATACATATGTATAAAAAAGAAGAATTTAATGAAAATGAATTTATACAAATTTTTATTCACGAGAAAATATTGCTTAAATTAATCTTTTTTATTTATTTATATTTATTTATTTATTTATTTTTTTTGCTTTTTTTTGTGTATTTTTATTGACTTAATTTTTATTACATCAACTTGAGCTAATATAATTTTACCGTATTCATTATTAAAACTAACTTATTTTATAAATATACCCCTTTCTGTGAATATCCATTGAGAATTATTACCCCTAAATATCCAATCCACTTGGAATTTTCTTCAATAAAACTGAAAACCAATTAGATTTCAAATTTATTGCTTCGACTGCTGGACAACTTTAGCTTATTTGCTAAAGCAGCTTGTTTATGTGTTTGTTGTGGCTAATTGCGTTGTTGCTATTATTGCTGTTGTTGTTGTTGTTGTTGGTATTGTTATTGTGGCCGTTGCTGTTGACATCAAGCAAAAGTCAATTTTGTGTGGCCATCAACAACACCCAATAAAACCCCAAAATATAGAGAGAGCGAAACATACAAAAACTCGAAGTGAAGTAACCAAGTGAAGCCACAAATGGACCATTCAATGGACACACACACACACACATACACATTAAGGCGCGGGTGGTGGTCAGCCACAGAGAAACAAAGTAAAAACGTTTACAACTTTTTAGATTAGATTAGTTTGCTAATAACAATTAGTATTTGTATTTTATGCACTGCGCAGCTTTGCCATCTCTATCTCTCTCTCGTTCTGTCCCTCTTCCTTTCTCTTTGGCTACGCCCACACATATCGAGCTCCCATTCACGCCTCGCCAAGCATTGTTGTCCAGCTTGTTGTTTTTTATTGTCATTAGCAAATGAAGTTAGCAAACACAGAGCAAACGAGTGGGTAGAAGCAAAGCTTTGTTTTAGCCATGTTCAATATGTTGGCCATAAAAGTTCAATGGAATTACCGAGCAAACTTTTTTTGGCCAGCAACTTCTATAGCTATGAATGTGTATGTGTGTGTGTGAAAATTGCCTGATTTATAATGACTATATTTTTGTGGCTTTTGCAGCGACTCGCATGGCGCTGAGACGGAGACGCAGCCGGCGGACTCTCTGCCCGCCATTAAATGCGAGGCAACGGATGCCATGGATACCACAACTGCTGGCGATACGGAGCTGGCCAAGGATCAGCCGGATGCGGACAACATTAAAATGTTTGTGGGGCAGATACCCAAGACATGGGATGAGCTCAAATTGCGACGCCTGTTCGAGCAGTTCGGACGGGTCCACACGCTGAATGTGCTGCGAGATAAGGTCACATCGATTAGCCGAGGTGAGTGCACGCATATAAATGTGCGGATTAATTGGCGAGCGGGGCCCTAGGGGTGGACCTCGCCACATCTCTTCTCCTCTTTCCATCTCTCCCCTATTCCTTCTCCTTCTCTTTCTCTGGCTCCCTCTCAATGATTTTTAACAACGCCCGTAAATTCCGAAGCGCACCCTTTTAAGCCAGGTGCGGGGCCTTACATTAACATCAAGTAATACGATTATGGCGAGCGCACACAACAACATTAGGGCTAACACCTTCCACGCTCCAGACCGGGTGTTGACTCTCAACTTTTTTTCTCTCTCTCTCTCTCTCTCTCTCTCTCTCTCTCTCTCTCTCTCTCTGCCAGCCTCGATGGTAATTGGCCATAATTGCCACACACACACGCACACAGACACACACACGCACGCACACACATCGAGCTGGATTAATTCTATTGGGTATTTGAATAATTTGGGCATTTGCTTGCAAACTTTTATGAAAAGTTGAAATTGTATTATGCATATTTATGGCCAGGCGTGCTGTTGCCTCTCAATGATCGGATATACTTATAGTTGCGACTCCGGCACTTCTCCTTCTGCATCTACTTTTCCTTCTCCCTCTCCATCTTCTTCATATGACCAGATTAGGCTTATGGCAGCATAAGAGTTGTTTGTGGCCAAGCTTAATACACGTTGAGTAAGAGTGAAGGTAGCGTAAGGCGATTACCACCGACGCTGAGTTGTAGAGGCTTGAGGCGTGCAGCAAAGCCATTAATAAATAAACTATCATCGATCGATTTATA